AGAACTCGCAAACAGACACCCAATGCAGAATGTAGACATCACAGCGATGCACTCCGCTCTGCATCTACATCAGCCATACGAAAGACGAAGTGTGATTTTGCCATGCGATCTCATTGGCCCATTTGGGTTGGTTCAAAAAACAAATCGCCTAGTTAGGAAGAATCTTTGGGGGTGCCGAATATGAGACTTGATGCCAAAACTGAGAGTGTAAATAAGCAGTGAAGCAATATACACATTAGAGGTGATAAAATATTTTATATAAAATATATATTTGATTACATTTACAATTTCTCCACATTTGGAATTTCTTTACACAAACCGGAATAGACCACCCCATTGGGCATTTGTTCAGACTGTCGTATGGCCTGGGAATTTTGTCATGCCCCGGACAGTTTGCATAGTTCAGTGAAGCTGTACGTGCCCCAGCTCGACCACATTACGTGGCCATTGATATGCCTCGACTTAAAACACCCTCAACCGCTGCTATGGACTGTGCAGAAGTGCGAATCGTCCTAAATCAGTGTTCTTCACTAATTTTCAGAGGGGGTGGGGGCACTTTGGCCGATAAGACTGTCAGGGGCCGTACTAAAGGTCACCAGGGACCAGCAGTGGCCCACGGGCCTCGCAATGAAAAACACTCGGCCTAGATTAAGAATCCGTGGGCCAAAGCAGAAATTGCTAACACCGAAGGGAGCAGCATATTTTAGAAGCATAAGAGTGACATGTTTGATAAGCCACTCATTTACAATGGTTGTCACATAATTCACTGTTACTGGCCACATAAATCAACTGTAATCACTATCGTTGCACCATCTCAAGTAGTTCCGAAATGTGTAATGTCTGGTCTTACGGGCTCAGGGTATTGATACTTCTGGTTGCTCAGAGATATGCTGTCATCTATTGGCGGAATTACTCTTAGGTCCAGCTGACACCCCCAACCCCCCCCCAACCTCGTGTAAACATCGTGGGCACCCATACAAGTTACAGGTTTATTTTGTTTAACCAGATGATAAATCGAGACACTTGGATCGTCTCATTTGCGAGAGTGACATGGGTCACCCAATTGACAAAAGCAAAACATAAAAAATAAAGTACAGTGATGATGAAAATATCATATTCTTGGTTCTTTCGGTAAAGTCACGTAGATAGAAAACAAAGAAAAAACAAAAACAAATATTAAATAAAAAAATTTAAATGATATAAATACAATAAAAATAATCTATTGAAAATAATAAAAGCAAAAACCCACGACGTTTCGATCGCAACACAAGCGGTCTTCATCAGGCGGAGAGAAAAGAGAAGAAAACATCGTATAAACATGAGCAAAACGAACTCTCACACCAGAAATCTAATATATTGCACGAACATAAATGAATTTTAAATACAATACTGTAATAAATTCCCTGTAACGTAAGTTGTCTCGGGAAGACTATTTGCATATGGGTAATGAAACCTTAATAGTGTAGTGATGATGGTCACCAATGACGACACATTTGAAAGTACAGTACTGTGTAGTGTTTTAAATACATTTTAGTTTATATTTCAACCTATTCTTGATGTCAAATGAAGAAAAATGTAAGCAAGTGACTTAATATTAATTTATTAAACATTATATTCTTGGTTCTTTCGGTAAAGTCACGTAGAAGGGAAATAATAAAATAAAAAAGATGTCAAACAATAAAAATTCTCACGACGTTTAGACTGCAACACAAGCAATCATCATCAGGTGTGATGTTTTATATTTTTATTATTTTATTATTTCCCTTCTACGTGACTTTACTGAAAGAACCAAGAATATGAATCCCTGCAGTCACGAAAGCTTTAAATCAAAATTTATTAAACATTATTATATACATCCGATTTTTCAACACTAAATTCAAGCTTAGGCAAGGCAGTAAAACAACTATCGATGCACAGGCAAGGATCAAAGTTACAAATCACATTTGCAAATGTGACTGTATCCAGCACTCATCTTCTGCATCGGTATTTTTATGAAGGAAGATTTATGATCTTAAGGGAGGAAACAAGATTGTTCCAAATACTTGAGGGTGCAACAGCAAGGCTTTGTCACCTATTCCGATTCTTGCATATAGCAGATCGTGGGTTGGATCCTGACCCTGACGCCTGTATATTTCATATTTGCATGTCACTCTCCGCGTGGTCGCGTGGATTTTTTTCCCCGACTCCTCCAGTTTTTGCCTCCACATTTAGAAGCATGCATTGAGATTATTTTGCTATTATAGATTTCCACATGATAATCTACTTTGTTAAGCTATGATTTGTGGCCAGGTCGCTTCTAAAAAAAATGTAGTAGTTCAATGGGCCTTACCTGATAAGATAAAAAATATATATTTCGTTTTATTAAACGTTAATAAAACTATTTTTTTTAACAAAGTTATTTGATTACCTTTTCCTATACTCTGCACTCCTATTGTGTTTTTGTATTATTTGTTGTAACGTTCTCATCCGCCCCTATTGGACATAAGTGAAAAATAAATTGTAGTTCATCGGATTCCTCCGGTATAAATACATATTCTGATTCATGTTCTATGGATATTTAAACGGCAATTAAATGGACGCGTAAGGTTTATTCCGTTTGAAAATGGGATGGGTATATCTAAGTATAGCAGAGATTTGCCAATCAACATTTTATGGATTAACAGGGCCCAATGTCATACTTGTCAACCCATACGGTTTACCCCGAATTCTTGTACAGGGAAATTTAGTTTTCAGGTACACACAGCGTACATCCGTTTCAATACGGGCACAAAAATGTCTATTTGTTTGTGTTTCTCCCTTTTGATGGCACTTTGTAAGATGAACGCTAAAATTTATAAGAGCACGGGGTGACCAACGAGGTCTGAATTGGTCTGTAATGAGGTAGGGCACTGATACGGGGTTGACAAGTATGCAATGTAGATCTCTTCTTGCATGAAGTGAGACAATGACGCCACTTCATAGGTGACAAGTCCATACAAAGACGGAATATTCCACCCTGCAATATTGTAGAGCGATGACGTCGCTCGGCCAGGTGAGGTCGCCGGTGTGATGCAATTCCACCAAATGATCATTCTCTAGTGATGACGCCATTCCGTCGGTAGAGATTACGTCACTTGATTGAATGAGGCCGTCTAGAGATGACGTCATCGATCGGGTGTATTTTTTTGTATCGATGCCGTCATGCCTCGTGTGGATTTTCTATGGCTGTGACGTCATCTACCATATGTATTGTTCTAAAGCGACGACCTCATCTCCCGTCTCGGTGACGTCACTGCCCCGGAGTGCTAATTGTCGAGCGATGACGTAGCCCACCGTGTGACGTTGAGAGGGGTGACGTCCCCTTCCATAATGTGTATTGTTCCAGAGCGGTACAGCCAACTCCCCCATCACGTTATTATTATACTATAGTGTCATGGGACCTCCTTTGCCAGTACTAAAATATCGTAATAGGTTTTTCCCCCTTTTATCTGGCAACAAAACAGGTGTTAAGTTAATACCAAACTGAAATATTTTACAAGGAATCATGTCTGCATTAAGCACAATACTTGTGGTCAAAATGCAAACAAACCATACTTATTCTTAGTTCTTTCGGTAAAGTCACGTAGAAGGGAAATAATAAGATAATACAAATATAAAAAATAACAATTCTCACGACGTTTCGATTGCAACACAAGCAATCATCATCAGGTGTGAAATCCACAGCAAGAACATTTTCTTGAATTTTTATAGTTTAATATTTTTATTATTTTATTATTTCCCTTCTACGTGACTTTACCGAAAGAACCAAGAATATGAATCCCTGCAGCCACGAAAGCTTTAAATAAATGAAAAACATACTCTCATAATTTCTGCATTGCCTTTGAGCTGTACGCCTTGTGGCGTCCTCTGGTCTAACACCGTTTGAGACGAGGCTCAAAAGAAAGCTGTCTCTGGTGTGGACCAATCAGTTTCAAAGACAATGCATATATTATGAGAGTATGTTTTTTTATTTGCATTTTGACCACAAGTATTGTGGTAACTGCAGACATGATTCCTTGTAAAAGGTTTCAGTTTGGTGTTTTGTTGCCAGATAAAAGGGGAAACCCCTATTCTCATAATACTAAAGTGTTTAACACGGAGGCTTTCGCGAACAAAATATCCCTAATACACTCTTTGGTTCTTTCGGTAAAGTCACGTATAAAGATTAAATAATAAATTAAATAATTGCATACTACGACGTTTCGATTGCAACACAAGCAATCATCATCAGCAGGTGTTCTCTCTTTGTGTATCTTTGTAATATCTGTCTGCTTATATGTCTGTCTATAGTTTTCTGGTTATATTTCTGTTGCTATTTCTTTTATACCTGATGATGATTGCTTGTGTTGCAATCGAAACGTCGTAGTATGCAATTATTTAATTTATTATTTTATCTTTATACGTGACTTCACCGAAAGAACCAAAGAGTAATTCCTTGCAGTCACGAAAGCTCCATATTAAGATTGAATCCCTAATACAGGGTTTTTATATGCGTTAAATCGCGTGAATATGTGCCGTTAAACCTGCCACCACCCCACACGGCCAATTAGTAAGGTTCGTCACGTAAACAGAACGTGCCAATGTGTCACTGGTTCAGCACACCGCTGTGTTGGAGAGCAAAGCCACACCATTTACAATCCGAGTACGACGTTTCGCCACCAATTACAACCAGCTTCATCAGGCGACAGCCAGATTTGCGCAGGTGGTGGGTTTAACGACACATAATCACGCGATCTCACCCTCGCCAAAAAATAAAAACCCCCCTATATTATTATGGATGGATATATAATGCAGTGGTCTTGTTCTGCAGTAGTGACGTCACGCTCCCGAGTTGACAATTCTTTTGAGATGACGTCATCCCACCGCCGGGTGAAGTCACCGCGGCGACGACAGCGGCGGGGGGGGGGGGTGACGTCACCGGCCCTCATCAGTCCCGGCCATTTTTGCGAGAATCAGGAAGACGTGACCCCCCCCCCCCAGCCGCTGTCCGGCGCCGCTGATCTCCCCCTCCACGCTCTCCTCGTCTGCCGTCGTCGTCCTCGTCGTCGTTATCTCTCCGGCCATCCCTCCTCCCCGCCCAACACCGGCGTTTGTCGGCCACGCGCAGATCGTCTCCGTGCCGTAAGTGGCGTTCGCGCTGTCCCCGCCGTACGGAGCGCGCCGAGGGCTGGCATGGAGCCGCCCGTGGCGTGTGTGTGTCATGTACACACACACACGCCACGCACTGTACACACACACACACACTCATGCATGTACACGGTGTTACACATCGCGTTGTGTGTTCGAGAGGCCGGCCCGTGCTGCGCAGTTGAATGAACGGTGCTTGAATGGGACCTGGTATTGTGGGGGTGCATTGTGCAAAGCTGTCTCTCTGTCTCGAAGGCGCTCGTGGGAGATGTGCTGACGTTAAGGTGCAGGTGCGGAGAGACGCGCAGTGGGGTGGCGAGTGGCCGCGATCGTGTGCGAGTGAATGTGTAAGTGGGCGAGCGGTTGATTGATTATAGGTGTGCGTGCGAGTTGGTGAGCGGGTGAATGGGTCTGGGTTGGTGAGCAAAATGAACGTGTGTGCGTGAATGGGTATGCGAGTAAGAGGCGAACGGATGAGCGAGTGAAGAACGGGTGGGTGAGATGGGTGAGGTGGATGAGGTGGGTGGATGAGGTGGGTAAGATGGGTGGGTGGGGTGAGGTGAGGTGGGTAAGGTGGGTGAGGTGGGTGAGATGGGTGAGGTGGGTGAGATGGGTGAGATGGGTGAGGTGGGTGAGATGGGTGAGATGGGTGAGGTGGGTGAGGTGGGTGAGATGGGTGGATGAGGTGGGTGAGGTGAGGTGGGTGAGGTGAGGTGGGTGGGTGAGGTGGGTGGATGACGTGGGTAAGATGGGTGGGTGGGTGAGGTGGGTGGATGAGGTGGGTGGATGAGGTGGGTAAGATGGGTGGGTGGGTGAGGTGGGTGAGGTGAGGTGGGTGAGGTGGGTGAGGTGGGTGAGGTGGGTGAGGTGGGTGAGATGGGTGAGGTGGGTGAGATGGGTGAGGTGGGTGAGATGGGTGAGGTGGGTGAGATGGGTGAGGTGGGTGAGATGGGTGAGATGGGTGAGGTGGGTGGATGAGGTGGGTGAGGTGAGGTGGGTGGGTGAGGTGGGTGGGTGACGTGGGTAAGATGGGTGGGTGGGTGAGGTGGGTGGGTGACGTGGGTAAGATGGGTGGGTGGGTGAGGTGGGTGGATGAGGTGGGTAAGATGGGTGGGTGGGTGAGGTGGGTGAGGTGTGTAAGATGGGTGGGTTGGTGGGTGAGGTGGGTGTGTAAGTGCAGGTTGCCTGCGGATGCCCTTCACCTGAGGCAGGTGCCACGGAGCTGAAGAAGGGTGGCAACTCGGCCCAATCAACAAATGGCTGTCGATGTCGTTCACACGCAGGAGGCTGCGTGTCCGCCATAGAGCTGTCAACCCCTCATCAGTGCCCTCACCTTATTACAGAACAATTCAGACCATATTGGTCACCCCGTGCCCTTATAAATATCAACGTTCATCCTACAAACTCCCATCACAAGGGAGAAACACAAACGAATAGACAAAAAATAGGATTTTTTTGCCCGTATTGAAACGGCTATACGTCGTAAGGAATTAAAAACTCCATGTCCCTGTACAAGAATACGGGGCTAAACCGTAAGGGTTGACAGGTATGCGCTCCCCCCCTCCCCTCTTAAGAGAGCATCTGTAACATCGCCGCAATGTTAATACTGGTAAGAACCACCTGGTTCCACCAGCCCACAGGGGATTATTGTGTCCGTCCGTCGTGCATCAAAAAATGGGAGGGGTGGGGCTGGGTGGAAAGGGGAGGTTGGGGGGGCTGGGTGGGGAGGGGCTGGGTGGGAGGGGTGGGGCTGGGTGGGGAGGGGTGGGGCTGGGTGGGGAGGGGTGGGGCTGGGTGGGGAGGGGAGGGTGGGGAGGGGAGGGTGGGGCTGAGTGGGGAGGGGCTGGGGGGGGGCTGGGTGGGGAGGGGCTGGTCACCCCGTGGTGCCCTTATAAAACTCAACGTTTAACCTACTCACGCCGGCTTGTGCCCGCCCTCACAGTCGGGCATATTTGCGGAATACACCACGCCGCCGTTGACCCTGGCCATTGACAGATCAACCCAACGTTCCTACAAGCTCCCTACCCCGGAAAGTGTTTCGCGAGCGTGGCGACATCACTATGGCGCTACAGGATAACGCGGCGCCTGGGAGGTGACTTGCAACTCCCCGTGCACTGCAGTGGGCAGTCTTGTACTGTGGGGGCAGTCTTGTACTGTGGGGGGGGTAGTCTTGTACTGTGGGGGCAGTCTTGTACTGTGGGGGTAGTCTTGTACTGTGGGGGTAGTCTTGTACTGTGGGGGTAGTCTTGTACTGTGGGGCTAGTCTTGTACTGTGGGGGGTAGTCTTGTACTGTGGGGGTAGTCTTGTACTGTGGGGGGTAGTCTTGTACTGTGGGGGTAGTCTTGTACTGTGGGGTAGTCTTGTACTGTGGGGGGGGGGGGTAGTCTTGTACTGTGGGGGGTAGTCTTGTACTGTGGGGGCAGTCTTGTACTGTGGGGGGGTAGTCTTGTACTGTGGGGGGGTAGTCTTGTACTGTGGGGGGGTAGTCTTGTACTGTGGGGGGGGTAGTCTTGTACTGTGGGGTAGTCTTGTACTGTGGGGGTAGTCTTGTACTGTGGGGGTAGTCTTGTACTGTGGGGGTAGTCTTGTACTGTGGGGGGGGGTAGTCTTGTACTGTGGGGTAGTCTTTTACTGTGGGGGGGGGGTAGTCTTGTACTGTGGGGGTAGTCTTGTACTGTGGGGGGGGGGTAGTCTTGTACTGTGGAGGTAGTCTTGTACTGTGGGGGGTAGTCTTGTACTGTGGGGGTAGTCTGTACTGTGGGGTAGTCTTGTACTGTGGGGGGTAGTCTTGTACTGTGGGGGGGGTAGTCTTGTACTGTGGGGGTAGTCTTGTACTGTGGGGTAGTCTTGTACTGTGGGTAGTCTGTACTGTGGAGGGGGGTAGTCTTGTACTGTGGGGGTAGTCTTGTACTGTTGGGGGGGGGGGTAGTCTTGTACTGTGGGGGGGTAGTCTTGTACTGTGGGGGTAGTCTTGTACTGTGGGGGTAGGTCTTGGTACTGTGGGGGTAGTCTTGTACTGTGGGGGGGTAGTCTTGTACTGTGGGGGGGGGGTAGTCTTGTACTGTGGGGGGGGGGGGGTGGGGTAGTCTTGTACTGTGGGGTAGTCTTGTACTGTGGGGGTAGTCTTGTACTGTGCGGGTAGTCTTGTACTGTGGGGTAGTCTTGTACTGTGGGGGGGGTAGTCTTGGTACTGTGGGGGGGGGGGTAGTCTTGTACTGTGGGGGCAGTCTTGTACTGTGGGTTAGTCTTGTACTGTGGGGGGGTAGTCTTGTACTGTGGGGGGGTAGTCTTGTACTGTGGGGTAGTCTTGTACTGTGGGGGGGTGTAGTCTTGTACTGGTGGGGAGGGTAGTCTTGTACTGTGGAGGTAGTCTTGTACTTTGGGGGTAGTCTTGTACTGTGGGGGTAGTCTTGTACTGTGGGGGGGGGTAGTTTTGTACTGTGGGGGGTAGTCTTGTACTGTGGGGGTAGTCTTGTACTGTGGGGTAGTCTTGTACTGTGGGGGGGGGGTAGTCTTGTACTGTGGGGGGTAGTCTTGTACTGTGGGGGCAGTCTTGTACTGTGGGGGGGTAGTCTTGTACTGTGGGGGGTAGTCTTGTACTGTGGGGGGTAGTCTTGTACTGTGGGGGTAGTCTTGTACTGTGGGGGTAGTCTTGTACTGTGGGGGTAGTTCTTGTACTGTGGGGGGGGGGTAGTCTTGTACTGTGGGGTAGTCTTGTACTGTGGGGGGTAGTCTTGTACTGTGGGGGTAGTCTTGTACTGTGGGGTAGTCTTGTACTGTGGGGTAGTCTTGTACTGGTGGGTGGTAGTCTTGTACTGTGGGGGGGGGGTAGTTTTGTACTGTGGGGGTAGTCGTGTACTGTGGGGGCAGTCTTGTACTGTGGGGGGGTAGTCTTGTACTGTGGGGGGGTAGTCTTGTACTGTGGGGGGGGTAAGTCTTGTACTGTGGGGGGAGTCTTGTACTGTGGGGGTAGTCTTGTACTGTGGGGGTAGTCTTGTACTGTGGGGGGTAGTCTTGTACTGTGGGGGGGGGGTAGTCTTGTACTGTGGGGTAGTCTTGTACTGTGGGGGGGGGGTAGTCTTGTACTGTGGGGGGGGGTAGTCTTGTTACTGTGGAGAGTATGTTACTTGGGGGTTAATTCTGTACTGTGGGGGGTAGTCTTGTACTGTGGGGGTAGTCTTGTACTGTGGGGTGTAGTCTTGTACTGTTGGGGGGGTAGTCTGGTACTGTGGGGGTAGTCTTGTACTGTGGGGTAGTCTTGTACTGTGGGGGTAGTCTTGTACTGTGGGGGGTAGTCTTGTTACTGTGGGGGTAGTCTTGTACTGTGGGGGGGGTAGTCTTGTACTGTGGGGGGGTAGTCTTGTACTGTGGGGGTAGTCTTGTACTGTGGGGGTAGTCTTGTACTGTGGGGGTAGTCTTGTACTGTGGGGGTAGTCTTGTACTGTGGGGGGGGTAGTCTTGTACTGTGGGGGGGTAGTCTCCTGTACTGTGGGGGTAGTCTTGTACTGTGGGGGTAGTCTTGTACTGTGGGTAGTCTTGTACTGTGGGGGGGTAGTCTTGTACTGTGGGGGGGGGGGTCGTCTTGTACTGTGGGGGCAGTCTTGTCCTGTGGGTTAGTCTTGTACTGTGGGGGGGTAGTCTTGTACTGTGGGGGGGTAGTCTTGTACTGTGGGGGGGGTAGTCTTGTACTGTGGGGAGGTAGTCTTGTACTGTGGAGGTAGTCTTGTACTTTGGGGGTAGTCTTGTACTGTGGGGGTAGTCTTGTACTGTGGGGGGGGGGGTAGTTTTGTACTGTGGGGGGTAGTCTTGTACTGTGGGGGTAGTCTTGTACTGTGGGGTTAGTCTTGTACTGTGGGGTAGTCTTGTACTGTGGGGGGTAGTCTTGTACTGTGGGGGCAGTCTTGTACTGTGGGGGGGTAGTCTTGTACTGTGGGGGGGTAGTCTTGTACTGTGGGGGGTAGTCTTGTACTGTGGGGGTAGTCTTGTACTGTGG